CATGCAAACCTCAAAAATTACTATAGAAAGTTTTTCTTGGAAGGAAATCAAACATTTCTATTTGAAGGAAAACATTAAAAATAGATGAAAAAAAAAATCAAGCTTGGACAAAGCGATAAGTATCTTTGGAAGATCACGAGGTAACATAATCATTTTAATATTTTATTTAAAAATATAAAAATAATCATGTATATTGTAATAATTATATAAGATAATGATTTTAATGTTATTTGAAGATAATAATTTATAAAATATTAGCAGTATTTTATTTTTTATAATAAAATATAATTAAATTATTAAATTAATAAATATATTTATTGATAAGCAAACTAATATTTATAATATAAATTATGTAAAAAATATTTGAATTAAAAAATAAAATAATTTATTAATTTCAAAATAAAACGAAAACAAAAAATAATATTATATATAAAAAAATAAAAAAAAAATATTTTTAAACTTATTACAATAAATATTAGTTTTAAAATATAAAAAATTATAATATAAAATAATTACAATTTTAAAGGAAAGTAAATTTGTAATTCACAAATTAAATGCATAATATTAACTATTGTTAATTTTATGTATCAATTTACTTTAATGATAAAAGTTTATTATTTTGGATGAAAATTAAATTATCGTCCTAAACATCACTTTTGATCAAGATCACTACTACATAAAATCATTTAATGTTTATCAAACACAATAATATAATCACTGTATATAAATGATAATAATTTTTGAAGTGATTACTATATGCCAAACACTATCATAGTGAACAAAAAGCATAGACAATATATATGTATCGGATTCACTTATATTAATGCAACTCTTTTTATTTTTAAACTCTTGAATCAAAATTATTAAATTTAAAAATATTATTTTAATTTAAATAAGTCATAATTTTAATTTTGATAAAAAAATTTAAAAAATATAAAAATTATATTAACCTAAGTAGATCCCATATATATATATATATGGTAAAAAAAGCTTAGATAATTTTAGACTCATGCAAGACAAAGAATAGTGGAGAAGCTTAAACTTTCTAAAACATCTTTTTTTTTTCTTTTTTTATTAAGTATTAGTCATAAAAAAATATCTATCAGCTAATATTTAAAAAAAAAAAAAGAATTTGGCATGGGACCTATTCTTTTCGTTTTTTGGACATTAAAATTATTTACATTTAAATTTTAATTTTATAAATAAATTTAAATTTTCTATGCACTATTTTTTAGATAAACTGAATTTAAAAATTACAAACGTGTAATATTTTTTTAATAATATATTTAAAAATTTTAAAAATACATATAAATTTCCTATATCTAAAAAAGAGAAAAAAAAACACTAAAACCGTTTCGCGTTATCCAAGTTGGAGTCAAGCCACTTGTATGCTATATCCTCCAAAGATATCAAAGTTTGCTCCTTGAAAGAAAGAATAATTTTTTTTTAAAGTCTCAGCAGCAGCAGGTGAGTCTGATCTAATGTGTTATCTCCTTAAATTAATTTTTCAGTTCCAATGTTTTATTCTTTCTTTCATGGGAGGTAGAAGAAAATCTTCGCAGCCTCTTTAAGTCAGAGACTTTTCTGCATTCTTCAAAACAACCCATCAATTTCATCTCTCAGGTTATTCTCAACCACTTCAAATCGGCACTCATTTATAGTTTCATATCTCATAAACACATGTGGGTTGTCTCCAGAATCTGCTTTCTCTGCTTCTAAAGTTGTGCATTTTGAAACCCCTGATTGTCATTGCCTTTTTCAAGAACCATGGTTTCTCAGAACCCTAAATCACAATCCTCATCAGGGGTAGGCCAAAAGTGCTATTATCTTATGTCAAGAATATTCTTTTGCCCAAAATTGAGTTTTTCAAGTCTAAAGGAGTTTCAAGCCCTGACCTTGCCAAAATCTTAGGTAATCATCCAACTATTTTAAGTAGAAGCTTAGAGAATCATATAATCCCTTCTTTTAATTGCCTTGGAAATCTTCTTATGTCTGATGAGGCGGTTATTAAAGCTATAACACGCTTTCCTCGTATTGTGACTTATGATCTTGATAATTATGTGTTACCCGGTATTGATATACTGAGGAATTATGGAGTGCCTGAATCCAATGTTATCAAAGTACTTCATTCAATGTCTAAAATATTCTTGAAAAGGTCAGTTAAGTTTAAGGAAAATTTGGAGAAAGTGAAGGAAATGGGTTTCAATCCAATGAGGAGGTAATTTGTAGTCACTGTCAATGTCTTGAATTTTGGGACTAAACCCGTGTGGGAAGAAAATTTTATGTTTATAAGAATTATGGTTGGTCTGAGAAAGATATTATGAAGTATCCCTTGTTTATGACTGTGTTTGAGGAGAAAATTATGAATTAATGGATTTTCTTGTGAACGGAATGGGATTGCAGTCTTCACTTATTGCTAAGTGTCCTCGTGTGATAACGCAAAGCTTGGAAAAGAGGATTGTTCCGAGGGGTTTGTTCAATCTAGATTTGTTGTCAAAAGGTTTGGTTAAGAAGGAATTTAACTTGGAGGCGTTGTTTGAGGATTCAGAAAAGTTGTTCATTGAGAAGTTTGTGAATCGCGCTATGAAGCAGATGCTCCTGAGCTGTTAAAGTTATATCAAGTAAAGTTTGATCTTTCAAATAAACTGAAAGCTAGTACATCCAAGCTGCAGAGATTGATAGAATGTTGACAATAAGATTCAGATTTTCCGCCTTATGTTAATTTTATATAATTGAATTCGTTGATGTGAAATTAGCTTCTGCTTTGGGTCTGGAATATTTCTAATACAAAATTATTGTCTGTAGTCTTTTCTTCTGTTAGTGAAGTTTGAACTGAACATGTATGCTCTGACACTTAACTGTGCCGATATATCTCATCTTGCTGTCATAAAGTACAATTGCAAAATGAGCTTCTTAATTGACGTTTTCTTCTTTTTTATGCAAGTGTGACTTCTTATTCATAGTTTGTCTAGGAATAGTTGATGTTTGAGGAATAATACATCAAAACTGTTCTTTGCTTTTTTTTTTTCTTTTGAGTTTCCTATGGGTTGGGCAGGGAACAAACTAGAAGTTAGGAGATTATTGTGTTGAATTAATGGCGGATACTTTGTGTCAATTTTTTTTCCGTCATGTGAAACACATCCTTTATAAGCTCTGAACCTTGGCAGGGTAAACTACAATGGCAAACTACAGAATTCAATGGAGTTGTATTCTTTGTTCCAATAGTGGAGCTTTGAGCCTAACTGTGGCTGACTCTTTGCTGCTTCACTTTATCTTATCTTGCTGTTTTTTTGCAAATTCATGTATGTACATATATGCATATATGCATGTATATATATATATATATGTATGTATGCATGTATGTATGTGTGTGTGTATATATGTATATTTTCAATGGAGCTGTATTCTTTGTTCCAGTATTGGAGCTTTGAGCCTAACTGTGGTTGACTCTTTGCTGCTCCACTTCATCTTATCTTGCTATTTTTTTTGCAAGTTCATGTAGTATATACATGTATGTATGCATATATATATATATATATATATATATTTAACTACTATAATTTTCAGTGCAGCAATTCAATGGAGCTGCATTCTTTGTTCCAGTAGTGGAGCTTTGAGCATAACTGTGGCTGACTCTTTGCTGCTCCACTTTATCTTATCTTGCTGTTTTTTTGCAAATTCATGTATGTATATATATGCATGTATGCATGCATGTATGTATGTATATATATATATGTGTGTATGCATGTATGTATGTATACATGTTGTATATATATTTATGTATGCATATATATTTATGTATGCATATATATATGTACATGTGTGTGTATATATATATATATATATATATGTATGTATGTAACTGCTATTATTTTTAGTACAGCAATTTCATATTCATAATTAATGATTTATGATGTGTTTTCTTTGTTGGCAATGGCAAAGTTTGAAGCATTTAATATTCCCAAAGTCTTTGGGTTTTTTTAATAGGATCAATCATAATATTAGTTTCTATTCATATTAATTTAAAATGATTCTTTCTCCTTTTTATGTTTAACAATAATTCATTATTCAAAAATAAATGTTAGCAAAATTTAAGACTTTTAAGTGATTATCTCTATTTTTTAAATTAATCATAACAAATGTCAAAATTTTTTTCCTATTTTTAATTATTAATTTGTAGAAGAAAGGCTCCCTCCAGATGTCGATTACCCTAAAAAGAAAAAGAGATAAAAAATCCGTGGCAAAAAAAAAAAAAAACTAGAATTAATTTATATGGATAATTGTAAACGGATATAATAATATAATAAAAAATTATAAAATTTATAAAATTAACATGATTTAAATTTAAAAAAGAAATCGTAGTAAAAATGATAAAATTTAAAATTTTGATAAAAATTATATATAATTAGGGATGAGAAAAAAAAGCAAAAAAAATCAAAACTTAATTTAAAATCATATTTTTCAATTAAGTTTGAAGTGATTTTTTTTATTCAATTTGAATTAAATTTATATATTAAATATATATATTAAATTTGAATCATATTTTAAATCAAAATATAAAAATTTGATAAAATCGATAGAAAATATATTTTTTAATAATTTTTATATATATTTTAAATTTTTAAAAAATAAAATAATTATTTTATAATAAATTTATTTAAATATATTAAAATTTTTATTAAAATAATATATAAAATTTTAAAAATTAAAATTTGAAAGTCGATATATGAAATTAAACCAAACTAAAAAATATTCAATTCAAATTGAATTAATTTTTCAAAAATATCGATTCACATTTAAATTAAAATTTAAAATTTTATAATATTGAATTATTTAAAAAAATCAAAATATTATCCAAATCATTATCATGCAGTAAATTTCATATTTTCTACTATAATTTTTACTTGAAACAAAACTAACACGAATACAAAAATCGCACTGAAATTATGTCAGGAAATTGGTAAGTTTGAAGCTTTGAGTTGAATTGAACAATAAAAAATAAAAAATAAAAAGAAAAGGTTCGAGTTTCAAGGGCAACCTCCTCTCCGGTGTGCCTCGAAGGTTCAAAGTTGAAAGCTTTTCAGGGTGAGTTTTCTGTCCGAGTAGCTTTATTCATTTCAATTTCCAAAATGTTTAATCGTCATAGCAAAGACATTAGTATTTTGCATAGGCTTTCATATATTGTTATGAACAATTCCTCCTCAAACCCATCCTTCTTCCTCAGAGTTAGATGCATCTCAAAAACGTGTTCAGACCCATCTCAGTCTTTTACAGTCTCTTACCTCAAAGAAAAACTTGGGTTCTCACCAGAATCTGCCATGGCGGCTGGCAGGTATCTCTTTTTCAAAACCCCAGATAAGCCTGATTCTGCCATTGCATTTCTGGAGAAACATGGGTTCTCGAAAACCCAAATCAAAAAGATCATCGCAATTCAACCAGGTCTCCTGTATTCTAATGCTGAGAAAACCCTTTTACCCAAGCTAGAATTTTTCCTATCTAAAGGTGTTTCAAGCCCTGAACTCACCAAAATCCTTTTTTGCAACCCCAAGATTTTAGCTTGTAGCTTAGAGAAAAACATTGTCCCTTGCTTCAATCAACTTATCAATGTGCTCCAATCTGATTCCAAGGCTATGACAGCTATAAAACGCTATCCATTTCTTTTCTCACGTAAACTTGACGCTTATCTGTCACCTAATATCAGTATTCTGAGGGATAATGGAGTGCCTGAATCAAATATCATATCAATGTTTAATTACCACCCTATATCTTTTGTCGTAAACCCTGATCAGTTTAAGGAGATTGTGAAGAAAGTGAAGGAAATGGGGTTCAATCCTTTGGTACTTAAATTTATTCTTGCTGTCATTGTGTTTAGAAAAGTGAGCAAGCCTGCAATGGAGAGGAAGTTTGACGTTTATAAGAAGTGGGGTTGGTCTGAACTCGAGATTTGGGAAGCTTTTCGGAGGTATCCAAATGTTATGGAAACATCGGAGGAAAAGATTGTGGCAATAATGGATTTTCTTGTGAACAAAATGGGTTTTCAGTCTTTGCTCATTGCCAATCAACCAAGTGTTTTTGGGCGGAGCTTCGAGAAGCGTATTGTTCCAAGGGGTTTGTTTGCTCAAGATTTGTTATCAAAAGGTTTAATTAAGAACTTGGGATTGTCTACATTGTTTGACACTTCAGAAAAGGTGTTTGTTCAGATGTTTGTTAACAAATATGAATGCAAAGCACCGGAGCTGTTATTGCTGTACAAAGAAAAACAGGATCTTGCAACAGGAGGCAAATATAGATCAGGGTAGCATAAAATCTAACATATTTGATTGAGCTGACTTTTCTGTCCGATTGAATTCCTTGATCTCAAACTTGCTCCAGTTTGAATAAATGAGTGCAACTAGTACTGTATTTTTAGCAGTATTCACTCTTGCCATCTGTGAAACTTGAACTCAACTATGTGCTCTGCCTGTTTTATGTGGTTTAATTGTCATCTTGCTTGAAATGCAACTGTGAAATGAGTCTCATTTATAGAGTTTATGATCTTTAGGTTTATTATATTGTGTGATAAAGATTTTGGCTCCAAATGGTGTTCGTTTTTATGCAACTTTTCTGCTTGTTTGAAGTTATGAAGGTCAAATTACCTGTTGTTTTGGCGCAGCTTTGTGGCTGTAGTTTTAATTATTATAATAATTCTGCTGGTAGCCACCAAGTAAAGCGTGATTGTGGAGGGTAGGTAGAGAAAATGAGGTTCAATCCTTAAAGGTTTACGCTGTTTTTACTGGTGTCAGGATTGGGGACAATCAGCAAATCCACATCGGATAGGAAGTTTAATGTTTATAGGAAGTGTGGTTGAACTAATGAACAGAGTTGCGGAGCTTTTCCAAGGTGTCCCTTGTAGTTGACAGCATCTGAGAAAAAGTTTATGGCTATAATATATTTCTTGTAAACAAAATTAAGCTTGACAAAGTCCTTTCACGTGCTTAACTTCATCTCCACTTTGCTTGTTCAAATTGTTAATGGGGTCTCATTTGCTGTGTTTATCAGTCTCCAAGTGATGATGTTCTTGTCATAAAGCTGTTAGATCCTCTTCATCATTTGTTTAGAGTTATGAACGTCAATTTGCCTTGGCCTAATTGACACTGCTTGGGAATCTTTGTCCCAAGGCGAAGGTGTGCTTGGACCGTGTGGTTCTTGATTTTCCAGTGCGGAACATGTAGGCTCAACGGCCATTAGACAAAACTTCGGTTGAACAATGCAGCAAAATAGAGTTTCCCAGACCACAGACGCAGAGTAGAGACTAACTGTTGTGAGCACCGTAACTTCAATGAACAATTAAAGACGGAGATTATGATGTCATTATCAATTGAACATCGACGTTCCCATTGTCAAATGCATTTGTTTTCATTCAAATATTGTAAAACATGAATTGAAATTAATATTTTGATTAGTAATCGAGTTTGATATGATTCTTATCAAAATTCAAAAGTAAATTTTAGGACAGATTTATTAAAACAAGTTCAACGAGTCTGATAAATAATGGTCGTGTGATTTGTTGATAAAGTTAATATAAGATCAACGAGTCCGGGAGATACCATGGTGCATTCTGTTGATATACCACTTTTTGTAATTAATATTTGTAATTAGATTTCAAATTTTGACACCTAAAAAATAAGAAAAAAAAAAGGTCCGATGATTGGGCCAGGACAACTAATTTATATGAATATACAGGTTTTAGTTGGACCTGGATAGTGGACGCTAACACTAGATAAAGTAACACAACCCTAACAAAGCCCCGCCAATAGGAGAAGAGAATCCAGGAGGAAAAAGGAAAGTCCCGTTTAGCTTTGGAGGTTGAAGCGGCTCCAATTTGCCTTTCAATCAAGGGTTCTGATATTCTTCAGAATTGCAGGTAAGCAAAGTGAAGTCGTCAGTTTTCAGTTCTCATGTTGCATTTTCTCTGTAGAACTAAAATTCTCCATGGGAGGCAAACTACTACAACCTCTCAAAGTTACAAACTTTTTTACATGATTCAAAATGACCTATCAATTTTCAGACAACAAAATGCTCTTAGATGCATGTCAACCACTTCAAACCAGCAATCATTCACTGTCTCATACCTCATAAACAAACTTGGGTTCTCCCCAAAATCTGCTCAAGCGGCTTCCAATTATGTCCATTTGAAGACCCCTAATAATCCTGACTCTGTCATTTCATTTTTAGAAGAACATGGGTTTTCAAAATTCCAGATCAAAACCATGGTCAGCAAGGCCCCAAAATTGCTTGCATCTGATTCTGAGAAAACCCTTTTGCCCAAGTTGAAATTTCTTCTCTCCAAAGGGTTTTCAAGCCCTGACCTTGCCAAATTGTTATCATATTCCCCAACAATTCTGCTAAGAAGCTTAGACAGACAAATCATCCCTTTTTTCAGTACTTATAGCAATCTGATTCATTCTAATGAAAAGACTGTCTATGCTATAAAAAGGTATCCATATCTCATCTCATATGATATGAACATTATCAATGGCCATTTGTTGTCTAATATCAATCTTCTACGAGATCATGGAATGCCAGAGTCACATATTATCAAATTACTTTATCAATTTCCTAGAACTTTGCTGATAAATCCTGGTAGCTTGAAGGAGATTGTGGAAAAAGTTAAGGAAACTGGGTTGAGTCCTCTGATATTGAAGTTTGTTCATGCTGTATCTGTATTGGCTGGAATGAGCAAATCCACTCGAGAGAGGAAGGTTGATGTTTGCAAGAAATGGGGTTGGTCGGAAAAAGAGAGTTGGGAATGTTTTCGGAAGTATCCATTCTGTTTTGCAATTTCTGAGGGAAAAATCATGGCCAAAATGGATTTTGTGGTGAACAAGATGGGCTTGGATTCCTCTCGTCTTGCCAATCAACCAAGTTTTCTGAGACACAGCTTGGAGAAGAGGATTGTTCCGAGGGGTTTGATTGCTCAACATCTGTTGTCCAAAGGTTTAATCAAAGACTTCAAATTGTCTGTGTTATATGACAGTTCGGAGGAGTTGTTCCTCAAGATGTTCGTTAATCGATTTGTGGCTGAAGCACCAGAATTGTTGGAGCTATATGAAGAAAAATTGAAAGAGTGAGTACCATTGACTGCAACATTTTTAGGATGGATTGGCACATTAAGATTCAGATTTCCCTTTGTATCATTATGTTTCTGTTCATTTGGTGATATGAAACTTGTTTTTAGCTTTACCCTGTTATGCCATCAGTGAATTTTTACCTCAGCAATTGAACTTAAAAACAAGTTGGCGTTCATTTTGTATTTACAACAATGAATTTGAACATTGAAATCCCTTTTACTTTTTTTTGTTAATAAAAGTGTAGATAGAGAAAAAAATATTCTATTTTAAGATCAAATATATTACAAATTTCATTGAAAATTTATATTGAATTTATATTATGAATCGAACAACAAAAATCGAAATTAAATTTTACGAAAGAAATATTTAATTTGTATCAATTCAACCAATCCCGATAAAATTAAAATGACATTTTGCGATAACTATTTTATACACTGTCATTACCTACCTAATCTTTATTAATTTAATCCCAAGTCTCTTTATCTTTCCTAATTTAATCCCAAGACTCTAGAAATTATTTAGTTAAGAAAATTAAGGCTTAGATTGGCAGGGTGAAATAAAAATGAAAAGATGGAAAATTAGAAGAGAGAAAAAGTGAAAAAAATTAAAAAAAAATTTTTCTTTTTATTAGTGTGTTTGATTAGAAAGATAGAAAAATAAAAGAAAATGCAATTTTCTTTTTATTTATTGCTTGATAGAGTTAAAAAAAATGAAAGAAAAAAACATAAAATTTACATGATTTTATTGTTATAATCTTTAGTAAATTAAGATAAAAAAAATCTAAATATGATAAACTATTTTATAAATATATAATACATATTCACATCTCTTTCGTCGTTTCTTCTCTTTTCGCTTCAGAGTGATTTGTTTTCATTAATCAATGTAAAAAATGATAATCTTTCTTATTTTCTTTCCTATTAAGCACACCAAAAATCAATCGTCCTTCCATTTTTTTATCCACCCTTTTTCATCCTTTTCAGTTGTACCAAACACAGCTTAAGTGATACTGACGAACAAAAAATAGAAATTAATTGGTTTCACAATGCTGACAGGAAGTGTACAAACTGAATTTACTCGGTTACTTTGATAATAATTGATACATGTATTTCTTCCTATTAAAGGTTTAAAAAAAAAAATTCGTAAGTAAAATGGATAGGAGTTTGAGAGAAAAGGATTGCAAATTTTTACAACAATTGAGGAATGAATACCTGTCTATGTGGGTACTAGCGCCAATATCTGATTCCTGATAATTCCCATACATTTCTGTACCTCTGAGTAAATCTGAAGATTCTGTGAACAATATGGCTTCAAACTTGAAACAGCAGAATCTAGTACCTGGGCAACATCTCCAGGTGGAAACTGTCTTTCTGTACATTTCTGCAATATTTTTTTGGGGGTGAAAGTAATCAGAATCAGATTTTACAATCAACAGGCAATCAGATGATCAAATACGAGGAAAAAAAAAAGAGTTGTATTGAGAACTGCTGACAAGAACTTAGGAGCCATTCAGATGATTACCTGTGTCATGAGCAAGGTGGCTACGCAATGCACGATAATGTCTGAAGGGATTCTAAGATCATCTTGGTCAGAAAAATTTTGCATCTTTACATCGGGTATGTGACTAGTTGCTGACGGATATGACACACAGGCAGTCGGAAGATCGTGAGAAGTTACTGTACTGTGGACTGAGTCTAATGGGGTAGACGACCTCAGAGCAGGCAGACTAAAATCATCCAATGAAAGCTGGTTATTTACAAAATCTATTGCGTCCTCAATCCTCTCAATGCTTTTCCCCCCTTTTCTTAAGGATGACATGGCCTGAGATGGTAATCAAGCTTAATCAGAACTAAAGTACAGTATTCAACTTAAATAATCAAAAGTGACTTCCACAGCATGACGCAATTTATGAAAAAATAAAGGCAAGGATCCATTGCCTCAAATAGTACATCATAACCATCTTGCAGGCAAAACCTGCCACATCTCTGGATTCTGCCTTAAATTGCCAAATTAAGCTCAACAGTGAGTTCCTAGCAAATATGCTCCTTGTGAGAATAGAATGTCAATATTTTCATTAAGTTTTCAGAAAGATGAGATGAACATGTCGTCCTACAGATGGGATGAAAATATTCTACCAAAATAGAGGTAAGCTCTACCACCAAAACTATGATAAAATTTTTATAATTTACATTGTCAAGTAGTGTCATCTTGTATGGTTTAGCTCAGGGATTGCTGTGGCCCTTTATTTACTTGGTCTTTTTAACCTATGGCTTATTGGTTTAAGACTGACACTTTGATGTATATGTAAGCAACGATGCATAAAGTTCCAATGGTATGGGAAATTTTCAAAATGCTTGAAAAGAAACGTAAGAAGGGGAAAGAGGTTTAGACTAAAACAAAGTTGATCCATCTATAAGGGGCCATCAAGATAAAACAGTTCACTGGCCCTTTTTTACCTGCATAGCAGCATTAACCATTGACCGAGCTTTCATTCTTGAACTTTCAACAATTTCAGCCACATTGGACACACATTCTTGGACATGATGCATAGAATGATCAAAAGAGCTCAACTGACAGCCGTGCCCACCAATTTTAGCCAACGGCTTCAGCAACTTAACTGAAGAGTTTGCTTGATATGAATTACGCTGCCTCAAGCAAAACAGAGCAAAAGAAACCTGCAAAAGAAAGGTTAGGCAAAGTTCCGATAAAATGGCATATGACATCGGTAAAGAGATTTAAAGTGAAAACTGTATCATCAGCATCTCATGCCTGCTCATTGACTTCATTTAACTGCAAGAGAACAGCAGCATATTGCTTCTTGAAAGAATCTGAATCCTTTAGACAGTTGTCTGCACCTTTCTGGTTTTCCAACACCTCATCATTCATGCGTCGCAGTTCAGACACCACCGCCTCCTGCAAATGCTAACACAACCCTTAAGTTCACTTCTCAGACACAATGCGAACAAAATTATTTGAAAGGAATTCTATGTCAGCCTTAGATAAACACAATAAACATGCAACACAAACTATGCAACATGCTACAAAAGAGAATCAGAATATTGATGCCCCAACAAAGCAAAAACCACCAATTATGGAGATAAGATAGGTTAAAAATACCATTATTAGTAAAAGATAGGAACAATGATAGGGAGCAAAAAATGCTCAAGTATTAAAAGATCAACATTCAACAGGCACTATATATAGCACTAAAAACAAAGATAAGTTTCTATAAGAACTTGAAGTTAAAAAAGAGAGAACGGACAGAGAAAGATTCACCAGTAGATTAAGTTTAATTCATAACAGCCAACATGGTGTACAACCTTTTTGTCAATGGCACGAGTCAACTGAGAAAGAGCTTCAACATCAGCTTCCCTTGCCTGAACCAGTGCATGAGCAGAAGGCTGAGAATTCACAGCTTGTTGAGTACAAACAGTTTCCATAGGTCCAACTTTATGTTGCAAATTAGGACTTGATGAATCAACCTGGCCAAAGCAATTTATCCTTATATAAGATGACAGTTACTCTGATTCTGCATTGTTTCCTATATCAAAACTTTTAATTGTAATACTCCAACTGAAATGCAATTTACCCTTGAATTGATTTTGTCTGATATACATGAAATGAAAACTATTTTGCAGTCATAACTTACCTTAACCGGCTGTGATAAATTGCCAACATTGAAAGTTGATGGGGAAGTACGAGAGGAACTATCAGTGTTCTCCGGGTTATCACATTGACTAAATTTCATGTTCTCTTCAATCTTGCTTTCTTTTGGCTGCCCATTCATTTTGAGCTCACTGTAGTTCTCGGCAAATTTACAGATGGCAGCATTTTGTCTCAAAAGGGAAGCAGGCAAATTTTCCAATGGATATGAAGGCATACAATCAATATCCTACAATAAAAAATGTACCATTCATGAAACTTAATAGGAAAAAACAACCAAGGAAAAATAGGAACAAGCTAAATATATTTAGTAAACGGCAGAGAATTAGATTGAGCACAAATACACAAGCATACATCTACTTGCATATTTAGACAAGTAATTTAAGAAAGGAACCTCCGAAGGCCTTAGCCTGTCATTAATCCATTAGACTAAGGCCTTAATGGCAATATTCAACATCTTCAGTTGAATGAAAGGAACATGTTGCTCTCATACATGAAGCAACTCCATAAAATAAAAATTTACCATGATGAATTCCACTCCTAGCTCAGGGCTGTCAAACTGAATCCGATATCTACTATGGTCAACAATTAACACACTTCCATCATGAATCTCTCTAGTTTTTGGATGAACAGCAATGACACGTTGTCCAACAGATAGAGGTCGAGCTAAATCAGTTGGAAGTCCTTCACCAATACCAGCACGGAGATCAGCATAATGCGTTCTAACAGATTCCTGATATTGATTGAGCTTCTCTCTTTCTTCCTTCAAAAATTGCTCAGAAAATCGTCGTGGTTTGCCAAGGGAACTGCATCGACATGACATTATGTAAGCAGAGCATCAACACCCGAAACCTTATTAAGATTTGAAAGTAGAAAGCTATACCTTCTTATGACACCCCATTCAACACGAGTTAATCTTGGGACATGACCTAATCCTACATGATCCAAATACTCCACAAACTCCCTTTTAGCAAACCATGGATAATCGATTGTACTGTAGAACCACTCAAAAGCACACCATCTCCGTGCTTGATATGAAGATAGGAAGCTGCAAAGCTTTGCCTGTCATACATGATATACATATATGAAAGAAAAAAAAAAAAAGCCCAAAATATAGAAACTCAACTTCATTGGAATTGTTGAAGTAAATAGTGGTACCTTCAGATTGAGTGCTCTGTCATGGAATAACATAGCTGGAACACTAAATTTGCCCTTTACAATATCAGAGGGCTTTATATCCTTTCCAATTGCGGGTCTCTGTGCATCCATCTTTCGCTTTACTCTACTTTTGAGTAGGTTGACCTGGTGAATAGATGAAACCTGTATGGTAGATGGAGCTGAAGTGTTCAAGTCCCTTCCATGATCAGTACTTGAGGATGTACGCTCTGGAGGTCTCACAGATTTCCCTTGCTTTGGATGTCCAACATTACTTGCGGATGTACGCTCTGGAGTTCTCACAGATTTCCCTTGTTTTGGATGTGCAATATTACTTGAGGACATACACTCTGAAGGTCTCACAGATTTCCCTTGCTTTGTATGTGCAACATTATTAGAGCGTTTACCTTTGCTCACAAGATTCTTTACCTCGTCTGAAGCCTAAAAAATGCACATAAAAATAGCAACATCAAGAACCAGTAATAAGTGATCAAGGGAAGAACATGACCCTATAGAGTATAAATTTAGGAATTTTCCTAAGTAAAAAATTTGCACATTTTTAAGTTACAAAGAAGACCCTCAAATTGCAAGGTCAAAGAGGGAAGAAAAAAATAATTACCGAGTTAGACATCTATACCAACATAGAATGCCCTTGGCTGACCCACAAACCAGTTAAAATATTTAACCGAGCTGATCTTTTACTTATTTCCTAAATTTACATCTATAATGTTCTCAATCACCAACTCAAACCTTTATCTGTTTATTCACTTCCTCCTTTCTCAAGTAGCAGTTCACATGATGAAAGGGCTATTCCTTACCAATTCATCTCCCTGTTATCTTCACTTCATAAAAAATTTATTTAATTCTTTTCATAATATTTTCTCTTATAAGATTTATTGTTATATTCTTAGTCTGTTTGTCACTCAAACCCAAGCGATGGGTGCCAAGATTACTTGCATCAAAAACAAAAAAGATTTAAGCATACACCCAGTTCATAAAATTCAATAAAATTAATCTCAGAATCAAAAACATTTATTGCATTCATGGTAAAAAGTTTATTTAACATTCTGCAGAAGAAAAGTATCTTAAGAGGCCATCATATGAATCAAGGTACTGAAAAAAAAATTTACGTCATACATAAGCTGTGTTTGCGCTTTTTACCTGAAAGCACCAAAAGGAGCCATTGTAACTCTTTGAAGCTAAAAATGTGAAAAATACAAACCTCAACGTTTGGAGATTCACCCAACTGAGAATCAGCATCAGTTTCATCTTTTGGAATCTGCAACTAGTGAGCAAGTTGCATATGATCATTGTTTCATGCTATAAACCCAATGAATTATTTTTTGCCAAAAAAGAATCAATCAAAAATGAAGATTGACCTACAAAGATAGAAACAAGCAAAACTGGTTGCATCAACTCTTACTTTATATGGTGAGGACTTCCGTCTCCTTTTCAGCATTCCAACATTATTTGGATGTGATTCCTCCTTTGCTTTGGGAATAGCATGAACATCATGATGAAAAAGTTTTCCCTGTTTAGATTGTTTGGAGGCAGTGCCTTTAGCTCCAGGAACAGGATGATTTCCTTTTGGTTTAGTCTTCTCAACAACTTCATTTTTCTCTTCCTTAAACAGCACAGATGACTCTGACACAGAAAAAAAAAGAGGTGGGATATGACATTACATAAACACACCCAAAAAGAGTGATCTTCCAGAGTTTGAATCATCAAGAAGGATTTACGCTGTGTAGTTCAAGCTAGAGCAAATGAAATCATTAAGTTCAAAATTAGAGCAGGTTTTTACCTTGTGTTAAGATTGCAGGCTTTAACTTATTGTAAAGATCATCTGAAGCATGAAAATGCCATATGAAAAATCTTACCTAAGTCACATCTATAATCCTGAAGGATTAAAGCATTTGGGCATAAGATACTCATACAACACCCAAAACATTTTGACCACTCAGGCCCTCCTATAATTTCCCTCACAGGGTATTATTTTAATGTCATACTCATTACTTGCTTTAATTTAGATTTATAATGTATGACAGAAAGCTGAATTTGGCAAAAATAAGGTGGCAAGTCAAGCGTATTATATAGGCAAAACTTATAAACTTGGTATAATCTAGCAGTTAGCATATAAAGGCTGCCACAAGCATGGTAATAATTGAACAAGGCGCTACATCTGGATTAAGAAGGTGATACATTGTAAACTCAATCTAATAGCTTGGCATTTAATTGGATGAATTATTTGTCAAAGTCATTTGGCTAAACTACAAAATACACAATTCTTTAACAAGCCATTAATGTTAAACCCTATCCAACTTATGCATCTAATGAGGACCATGCACCTAAAAGGAAGAATAAACAAAAATGATGAGATTTAGCTAAGAAAAAAATGAGCCAACTCATATAACAGTAAATCCTACAATGATACCAATTCAAAAGTTTCTGTTTATTGATTAAAGCATATGCATCTTACCAGTGTCAGCAGCAGTTTCTGGCATCATCAAGGACAGATCTGCCAGAGTTTGCAGGGCATCAAAGGAAGTTTCTTCCACTACAAAAGAAAAGAGTCAAAAAATTGATAAAACATGACATAGACAAAGTTCCACAGATTAAAGTAAATGGTAAGGTTAAGTCAAAGCTCACTTAAATAAATTCAAAAAGAGAAAGAGGGAAAAAAATATGGTAAAGTATGATTAACAGTCTAACAAGAAATTGATAAAAAATTATCTTTATTTTTAAAAAAAAGCAGTGTGGAACTGGAAAAAGAAAACTCCTAAGAAACATGATTTAGAGTAAATTATTTTTCTGAAGAGAAACAAGCCAAAAATCGATCTCCAAATAACATAGATATACAAGAAGCATGACCATACTTGCATAAATAAGCAATTTACTAAAAATAAAGTATCCAATATCCTAGAATTAACTTAGAGAATTTAGTATTTGTGGATACAAACCAGAAGAGGGAAATAAGACTTTGCCTAAAGGAAAATACCATCATACCTCCCCCAAACAATACTTTTTTACTTCTTTTCCTTAGACACTTGGTGGAGGCTCTAGAAGTGTTGGCATCTGCAACCTCAGCTTCAAACTTTCCCTTCAAATCACATAATCTTTGTCCTTCTTCTGTCCCACTACAGGCTTCTTTTGTGTCTTCCAGATGATTGTTTACACTTTCCTCAACCTCTGGCTTCCTTCTGTAGTATCTTTTCCCCTTCTGTTGAACCTCAACTGTACCAGTGCCCTCTATATTCCTTGAATAGTTCTTGGCTCTAGAATAATCTGCATTATCAGCTTCAGTGCTTCCTAAGCTTAATTCACAAGCATCTTCATCCACTTCACTACCGAGAATCTTGGCACTAATAGTTTCTGATTCAGCGTTCTGAAAAAAGTAATCAATTAATTTCTGAATGTAAGGAAGTAATGAAAAAGCATTGTGAAACATCAAATAAAAACATATTACCATCCTTTCATTGTTGAAGACAGGTGAAGGTGTCTCTGCTTTTCTATTTGGTGTTTGAGAAACTTGGGGAGAGCCACCTCTTTGTGATGCCTCTGTCAATGCTAATGCTATCACATGAGCAACATTGTCATCAACAGCATCCACCTTTAGTTTCATGCCGGGCCTAATAGGTGAAAAATACCTTTCCCCTTTGCTTTTGTCATGAGAAAAAGAAATTGGAACGCGAGGAGTCCTTTTTCCAACAGCACGGGGCCTACTTTCTGAAATGAATACCAAAAACAAGTAAAAACTACAGCGAGGAAATGAGGTACAGCAGCCTAATATTAAGAGCTTAAATTTTAATGCATAATATCCATCGCTGAATAAAATAGAGCTTCCCTAGACTAGCCTACTTTCTACGTTTAAATGGTAAATGTGAATACCACCTCAAACGCTCAATGTCTGTGTAGAATATGTGTAGGAAGACTAGAACGAGAGTGAGATAGAGATCTTACCAGAGCGCCTCCTCTTCAACAACGACAAGCAGCCATAACTTGATGCAGCTGAATGAAAATGCAAAAGATCAGGAAGTGGCTTATATAAACTCTTAGAGGGTTGATCTCGAAGTTTTCCCCTGCTACGCTTTGGACGTCTCTTAGAAGCTCCCATGCCCTCATTGCTTTCTTGTTCACTATCACTTCCTCCCTGCCATCTCACAATCCAACAACTTCAGTTCCAAAAAAGCATACCTTAAAGATTACATTTCCTAACTTCAGTTCCCTAATTGGTTACTCTTCCTAGATGCGTCCAAGCTCCATTGGTAGAATCCACAATACCATACCATAAAGATACCTGATTAATAATGTAATACAAATCTAAAAGATAAGAGACTTCGGATCAAGGAAATTTCATTGACACTAAAACTGGCATCTAGACATTAACTAGCCAAATGACTGCAGGGAATGATCCAGCCAACTAAAAAGATAGACAGGTTTATCCTTTGACAATAAGGGACGAAAGTAATGTCACAAAAGTAACAGAGGATTAAATAGTCAAAGTTGCAGAAAACAAGCGCAAATGTATTATAAAACCTCAGATCCATGTAAATTTTAAGGAATGGCGCCATATTAAATTAGACACTCACCATAACACAATAGTGATCGGTCATCATTGCTATGAGTCCAACCACAGAAGCAGTGCCATCAGGAAGAGATAAGTAGGCCTGAAAACATGGTAAAATTTTCTATTGTTGAGTTAGACTTAAAAACCACCCAAGCACCTTCTTGATTTTGTCAGTCACACATGATTATGATGAAAATAGCATCCCTTTATTACAAGATGATAATAATATGATTAAAATAGTATTTAAGAAAAAAAAAGTGTTAAATATGATATTTAATTTCAGTATTTCATATCATATAACAATGCTTATTGATGATGGCTAGGTGGCAACATGAAAAAGCTTATGCAACTCCAATGTCTCATACTTGAGAGACAAAAAAGAAATTCATACTATTGTAAAGAAAATATGCGTAAGGCATACAAGTTTCACAAATAAAGAAATAAAGATATGTTATGTGATGTATTATGCTATTAAAACCACACTTACCCTATTCATAGTGTAAAGAGCTTCTACCATTTCCACAGATCGATCACGTATCATGGTAGCCACCTAGAAACCCACACAAAGCAAAATCAGAAAATGGTAAAAACACAACAACCAAACACCAGATGTCCCAACTACATGACCTTAAAAGCAACTATATTAAAGTAGCTTTTCTGATTTATAAAATATATATATAGAAAATTAGAGTAACAATTCCTAGAACATATGCCATCTAAAAAAAGTATAATCACAACAAGTCAACAACAATAATAAAACCCAGTACAGCACTCACAACTAACCTTCTTCCAATCTTTTCCATACTTACGATATGCCTCATAGAAATGCTCAAGCTCTTCCTTAGTCCATTGCGGCCCTAACATGTCAGACAACTTCCTTTTCTGCACATAATACATTACAACTATAATCAATTCCAGGACAAAATTTTCACAAGTAAGTTTTCATTATTTGTAGTAAGATCTCAACAAAATAGTCAAAGAACAGTATTAACGTAAATCAAAGAAAATAATTTTCTTTTGTTTTCCAATTGGCACTTTATTAGAAAGATATGGTGACTTTCTGAATTTCTATATCTCATTTTAGCAGGAGAAACCTCGAACTGGCAGATGGAAGCTGGAAGCAAAGGAAAAATATTCCAGCTGCTGCAGCAGGGGTCTCTTTGGGGACTCGGGTGGTAATTGGATTGCTGGATATAGCTATCAAATTGGAGATTGTAGCATTGACTTGGCTAAATATTAGGCCTTCTACCATGGAGTTAAGTAAGCCCAACGATAGAGAATGAACAAGCTGGAGTTGAGTCTGGTTCTCTCAATTCCATCTTAGCTATTGAGAAAGGGTACCTCCTAACCACCTTTACCACCCTCTAGTCCAAGCCATCAGGTGTATGTTAAACAACAACTTGCATTGGTCACTCAACCACATTCCTAGACAGAGGAACATGGCTGCTGAGTGGATTGCCAAGTGAAGCTGTCTTCAAAGCACAGGCCTGAAGATCCTCCCCTCTCCCCACCTGATCTATCCACTGTTCTTCTGGCTGACATGTTGGGGGTTTGTCACCCCTGGTCAGTTTCTAATTAAATCTGGGGTCCTTTGATGCCCATTCTGGACCCAAAAAAAATCTCTTCTTACCAAGGCTACCAGCACCTATAGATACATAGACAAAAAAGAATGTTGAATGTGCAAACCTCACAGCTGCAACTCTTAAAATTCTGGTTAGTGGCTAATTCTGTCACCAACACCACTTCATACTTAACTAGGTTATCTTTTAACATAACAACTTAGTCAAATCCTATTTGTACACAAAACTTAGTTAGAATTTGCTAGCATGTAAGCTCAAACCAAAACTTATAAAAGGTGGAAACCCGTCAAGGAGGACTACAATAAAAGAATAGTTCAGGGAATAAATAAACTAAATTCAACATCAATTACAAAACTAAAAAGAAAATAAAAACTCTAAAGAACAATATATAATCAACAAATATAATCAAACCATGAGAGAGGGATGAGCAATAATCTTTACTGGAATAACCTAATTAAATGAAAGAATTAAAAATAAATAGATAAATGCATCAAAATCAAAATATTTGAAAAGCAAATCAAGAACTCACCCGTTGCCCACTTTTCTTAGCACTACTATCTCCATTTTTAGCAGAAGCAAGCTCGTTAACATAAGAAAACTTCTTATTTACACTTTTAGGTTTCCTAGATGGAGCCATGAGGAGCTTCCTCAATTACCTGAAACCTACTCAAAATCCAAACATCAAATCAGTGAATCAAATTACATAATCAAAAAACAAATTTCATCTCAATCTTTTTTTTTTTCTCCATAAAAGAAGAATAAGAAAAAAAAAAAAAAGAAAAAGAGAAATCTTGAATAAAACATTCAATACAAATTTCAATTTCAACCTCGTAAAATTTCATTTCCAGCTCTAAAAAAGAAAAGCAAAAAGTCAAGCTTTGTAATAAAAGGAAAAAAACTAAGAATCCAGAATCTATGAAAGTCGAGATCTTTAAACAACTAAGTTACAGAAGAAGAATAGAGTGAAGATCATGTCAGCCATGTTTTCTGATCAACGAACCACCGATTAAGTGACGTTTGGTTGCCGAGAAAGAAAAAGAAAAACACTTTTCTAGTTCAAAGACAAAAATTTTACTATTAACACAAAAGCTCACTCAATTTAAGTGTCAAATTACTTCAATTAAAACGCCAAAATTGCTTCTTTTCAAAATCGAATTGAGAAGAAGAAATCGAAGCAAATAAAAAACTTTCAAAAGCAGAAACGAAAAGCTTACCAGTAGCAATCGAAAACGACACAGATTTGGAGAACATTGGGGAAAAAATAAGAAACGAAGAAGAAGCGATCAAGTAAACACGAGCTTCTTCTCCGACGATAAATTGTTTTTCTTTTTCTTTAGTTTTTGGGCTTCGATTGGATTTTTGAAGATTGAAGATGGAAGGAGAGAAACGAAGAATTAGGAGAATTTCGGGATATAACCGCGAAACTTTTAAAGAACAAAAAAAGGCCAAAGAAAAGCGAATTTGTTCTTTTTTTTTCCAATTATTTATTTGAATATTTTTTTTTAATTCATGATTATGATTTTCCTGTGCAAAAGCTCATTCATTACAAAAATAAATAAATTTTCAGTGTAAATAATATATCAAAATTTATAAATTATTTAAATTTAATTTAAATAAAATTTAAATTTAATTTGATTGTTGTTGATTAAGTTAATTGAGTTTAAATATTTAAATAATAGATTCTAATAACTCTCAAATTTAATCAAATTTTTAATTTTTATTATTTTATATATACATCAATTATAGCTTTAATTCAAATTCAAATATATAATCGAAATCAAATATAAAAATAAAACTTATTTTTATTAAATAAAATTAATAGCATAAATTTAAATAATTTAAATTTTATTTTAAATTAAAATAAATTTTAAAAATTAAAATTTAATCAAATTGAAACCAATTTTTAAATAATAAAATTTCAGTCAAACTTGAATTCGAAACATTGAACCTAGATTTAGTTGAGTTGATCTTTACCGTGTGCGTGACAATATGCTTTAATCTGGACCATTGAAAATATTCATATCCAAAAATATTGGTAATAGATTTTTTTTTTTTTTGCCATTTCACTTTTTTTTCCTAGAAAGATAACTTCTAAAAATATTTAAAAATGGCATTAAACTTAAAATTAAGGAAAATTATTCTTGTATTGATGGATGATGAAGTTCTGACTAACATGTTATATAAGGAAAATAATTTTCTTATGAACAAAAAAAAAGTTAAGCGTAAAATTATTTATATTGGATATTTTTAATGGTTTACAAAAAAAAATTATTGCATTGTTACCTTATTTTATTAATAATTTTTAAAATTTAATTTCAAAAAAATTATATAATTATTGTCGATGGTCGTCGAAATGAAAATTTTAAAGTTAAAAGAGTTAAAAGATGCTCAAGCAAATCTTTTGATAACAGAAATTGAATAATTGAAGTTAAATTTAATAATTTATGTTATTATATCGTATAAAATATTATTTTATATTTTTTATATTAAATATATGTTATAATTTATATAAATATAAAATATAAAATATTAATTTTATTAAAATTATTTATGATTTTTTAATTTTAAATATATTATTTTTATATTTTTATTTATATTATTTTTATATTATATCATTATATTTAATTTCAAATTATTAGACGTAACTGAAGCCCTAGGAAGAAACCTTTTTTCCAAGCTATAGGATATACAAGACACGGCCTTTCAGAAACATCATTTGCCTCCCTGGTTCCAATCCATTTTGTTCACTAAGAGGTCCATTAAAGCAGAAATTTTACCCTCAGATGCTATCATAGACCTAGGAAACTTTGCAATTCACCTTTAAACTTATGATTGGGCTTTGGGTTTTGAATATTAAGCCCAGATTGCTGGACTTTTTGTGTTTTCAGGATCTTTTTATCTAAGCTTTGAGTAAAGGTTTTGGTCGTTGATTGTTGATGCACTTACCCCAATACTCGCCATTTTTTTTTAATTTTTATAAAAAAAATCCAAAGAGTTGTAAGTAAAGATAACAACAGTGAAATGAATTTTTCTTAATCCAACTTTAACCTGATCTTTTAATATTTACATTTGATTCCAACCTGATTGATATTAAAAATATTAAATTTTACTCGATTTAATCCAACTTAAATATTCATAAACCATAATTGACCAAACCTGAAATTAATTTAATAGTTTTAATTTAGTATAATTTTTATAAAATATTATTTTTTATTATAAATTATATTTTTATTAAGTTAATACCTTAAATGAAGGTATAAAATAATAATTTTATTAGTATAATACATATATAAATATAAAATTAAATAAATAATAAAAAATAATTTTTATATATATTCGGATAAGATCAAAACAATATAACCTAAAATCCAACTTTAACTTGAACTTGATTTAAAAAAAAACTCGATCCAATTTTTGATTCTGAAAAAATTTAATCATATTATATGAAATGAATCAAAATCTGTTAAATATAAATTATTTTATTATTTTTAATTATAAGTAATAAAAATTAAATTTTAAATTTGCTGGACATATAACAAAACCAATTGCCTAAACCATAGGTTCTATTATTAAAAATTTACATAAAGGGTAAGAAATAAAGTATAAACGCAATGTGCAAGACAGCAAGGTTGAACTATCAGAGTAAAAATATGAACTGATAATATAATATTTAATTAATTTAATGATAGCCAAAGAATAATAATAATAATAAAAAAGATTTTCCATAAACAAAGGTATCAAAAATGTCATCTCTGGGTCAGCCACCGAACAGGGATAAGATGATGTTTGAAGAGTGGCATGCAAAGCTTTGGCATCAGAAAGTAAAATTGAGCATCAACATACTCCTACTACTGTTTGTCAAGGAAAACAAAGCATAGAAAAAGAAGAAATGCACAAATTTTACTAGACAATGTGACATGTTGATCCTTCAAATTTTTTGTGTCTGCCACTGGTTTTTTTTTTTTTTGGTCATAATTGAACCAGCAGCAAATGGACATGTTTAAGGATTGTGTTTCTCCCACACCAAAAATCAAATTTCATTTGTGGGAAATTAACAAGGTTTCTCAACGAAGATTCCCATCAATCATCCAATAGCTTCATTCTTTTTTGTAATAAAACATGGTCTCATTTGACATTATAATTGAAGTTGTCATTGTATTATAATTGAGTAAAAATGTTAATCTTCAATTACAAAAATATTCACAGTTATTATTTTCAAAATTAAGTTTAATTTGAAGCCCACATTTAGAATCTATTTAAATCTATAGTGAGTTGAAAATAGTAATAAAAATTAATATTGTTGTATTTGAAAAAAAATTAATAAAAAATTTATATTAGATTAGTTTTATTAGAGTTGATATTTAGATTTAATTGATAATACAATGAGTTCAATTACATCGTACTAAAAGTACGATAAAAATTTTTTAATCGGGTTTTTGTTTTTATATTTATGAGATTATGTATAAAAATAAATAAATTACATGTATTAATATTTGAATTTTAAATTTATTGAATAATATTTTAAATATATTATATAAATCAACTAAGTTAAATTTTAAATTTATTTTTAATTGTGTTTTAAATGAATATTTAGAAGAATTTTTAAAGAATTAGGGATAATGGTTGATTTTGTTTGGAAAAACCAACCACTTGGTATAATTTATTAACAAAGTAAACATGAGTTTAAACATGATTAAACATCCTGTCCTTTTGTACTAATTTTAAACTAATTTTGTACCAATTTTTTTACAAGGAAGTGTCCAATCTTGGCTTAGCAACTCAAGTGAACTAATTCATGCCCATTTGAAAACAAATTGATTGATATAATAATAATTAAAAAAAGGACTGACAGATTAGCTCATAATTGTGTTAGCTTTGAGCTGCAGTACATAATTAATCATCATGGAACAGAGACATGTCTAATAATGTTGACAAAAGATTGTTATTACATCCTTAAATATTACAATACACACCTTTTTCTCTTACAACAATGTTGGCTGTGAAAAAAGTTACCAACATTGATTACGTGAAAGACCTTTTTTATTATCAATAAGTAGTTAATTTAATTTATTAAAATTTATATTTTTTGATGATTATTTATTAAAATTTAAATTTTATTGATGATTATTTATTAAAATTATTTTAAATATATGATTTGTAATTATTTATTTTAAATTATTATATACGACATATCTTATTTTAATTTAAAGATTAAATAAATTATTTACATCGAATTTATAACAAAAAAACCCTTTTTATCATATTAATTATCAGTGTCATTAATTTTTAAATAGAGATTAAGATAGTAGAATTTAAAATAATTTAGAAAGGTAAACTTTGTATTAACTGGGTGTTTTGTTTAATTAATAATTATTATATTTATCTCTATTTTTTATTATTTGTTTATAAAAAAAAATACTAAATGTCTTAAAAGTTTACATTGCTTAGGAAACACTAACTTTAATAAAAAAAAATTGTTTTTCTTTTTCATTTTTAGAGAGAATCAATTGTAATGTAATTTATTTATAAAATATGAAATTTTAATTTTAATAAAAAAAAAAACTAAAAAATTCTTTGATAAAACCCATCGATTCAACCTCCTCGCCGACATTTGGTTGATAAGATATGGTTACCAGACCAAGCATCAAATCTTACAAAGTGCCCACATGTGGCCAAAACTTGTCCAAGTCAAACAAAGGAACTTTCCACCTGATTACCGCTTGCTCCAGTCACCTTCCTTCCCAACCTTCCCTCTCTTTCACCGCCTGCATCCGGTTAAGTAATATGCATTTCAGCATTTATAGCCTTCTTACCCACTACTGCTACTCCTCCCCCGGTCATTCCCCAGTTTGGTTTTCTCCTGATGATGACATGAAAGCGATCTTAGCCGTCGGGTTTTAAAGAAGGGAGATCTCAACCGTTGGTTTTGTTAAAGTGAACTATTGCAATAGATTTTTCCCAATTAAAACCTCGTTCACACGATGTTTTATTAGCTTCCGGTTTTTAACCGACTTGAAAACTTCGCCCACGCGCTACTTTAGGCGATTGTATTCGTTTCGTATGATAATTTAATTTTACGGTACCATTTTATAATTAAAATTTTAAAAATTTAATTATAAAATGTATTTTTTTATTAATCTAATGGAATTAATGTAATTTTTTGTAAAAATACCTTAAATATTGATTAAAAATCCTGTTGAACACTAAGCTTTGATTTTCTTGTTGATTTCTCTTGCAAAATTAAACTTTTTTTATATAAAAATTGGTTTAGCTCAAATTAGTTTGAGTGAATGAATAATTATATTAAAATATTTTTAATTTAAAGTTACACAATTTAGTATATATAGTTTAAGTTAAATATTTTTATTTTGTCAATTTGACAAAAATTAAAGCAAAGAACTTAACTTCTTTTATACTTATAGTTTTGTAACAAAAAAATGCTTAATACTCTCAATTTTTTTGTTGATTTGACAAAAATTTAAAAATATTTATTATAGATAATATTCATCATTTTGAATATTAAAAAAATAAAAATATTTAAACATTGTATCAATAAATTTTAATTTTAATTAGTTCATATAATTATTTTTAAAAAATTTTATTTATATATTTAAATTTTAAATTTTAACATCAGTAATTTTATTATCTTTTAATTATGATATTTTTATATTAAAAAAACTTGATCATAATAAAACTAACTTATGTCTATCGAATTGATTTTTTTTTTGTTTTTTGTTTTTTATATTTTGAAAAACTATCGAATTTGTAAATAAATGCTTTTACCTAATTTTAAAAAAAAAAGTTTTGCATTTTTTTTTTTAAACTTTTCGCCGTTCACGTTTTAAAGCAGCGCGTATGGAAAGGAAGTTTGAAGTTAAACTGCTTATGTAAGAAGGAAATACTGTACGACACGTGTTGATCAATGGTTGGTTCATAAAAAAAGTTGGGTGTCATTATCAAACCCCACTGTCCTAACACTTCCAAGGTAAAAAGCTCACAATAGAAAAATACCCCACGTTTTTCTTTTATTAATTAATAGTACTTATATGCTAATTAAATAATTTAAATTTAATTCAATACCCCAATAATAAACCAAGGAAATGCAAACAACTAAAAGAACCAAAATCAAGATTTTGTCTTAAGTAATTTTTTTTTGTTAAATTAAAATATAATAATTGTTCAAGAGATCTCCGTCTCAAGATTTTTTTTATTATAATTGAGATCATTTAAAATTAAATCATGATCATTGAAATTATAAATTTAATATTTTACAATTTGTTAATAAAATTATTTTTCGTGTTTTAAATTTTATTTTGTTTTCAATGGGATCCCAACTTTGGTAATGGATTGTCCTCCCTAAATCCTAAATTAGGAAATTGTGCCAAACATAATTTTTTTTTTTTTGGTCATTGGATGGAATCATAGTTAATGGCAATTATTTTTTAGTGTCTTTGTTTTAAAGAATTTGATAAATTTGTTATAGCACATATGTAAATAAAGTTGTATTAATTTTGTTTTTTATTACTTAAATATTGCAAATATATTAGATGGATCAAGTTTTAAGATATTTTCACTAGAATTATTATTTGTTCATATTTCATAAAGAGCTAATTATTTTTTGTAATAATTAAAACTTTATTACTTACCCAAAGGGATAATAATAAATTTTTTTAATTTAATTAATTCATATAATTACTCTTAAAAAGAAACATTAATGTTGAATTCAAATTTTATCACATAAAATCTATTTTTCTATTTACATATTGTGATTTTTGTGTAAAAATAAAACTAACATTTACATTTGTGATTTTAATTTTAATATCTATACTTTTTAATTTTTAAATTATGACTTTATTTATATATAAAAAAAGTAACACAAAACTAATATTTTAATTTGAGTTTTTGACCTATAAGATTATCATAATTTTAATTTATAAATAGATTTAATAATTTAAAATATAATACGATAATATGATATAAAAATAAGATAAAAAATGATATAATTTAAAATTTTAATAATAATTATATATGAATTTAATAAAATAAAAATATATTTTTTATTAATATAAATTATAATATATAATTTTTATATAAAATATAATTTAAATATATAAATTTAAATATTTTATGTAACATAAATATGAAAATCATCAAATAAAGTAACACATTAAAAAATAGAAAAAAGTAGTAGAAAGAGAAGACTAATCTAAGTCTTAAGTAGTTGATATTGTGATGTACCTTTTTTTTCTACTTTTAAGGAAGATATCCCCTCCTTTCTATGCCATGTTAATAAAACCAACCCCCCCCCCCCCCAATTATTATTTTTTTGTCATCAATTAATTCAACAAAATCCCATTATTATTTTTCTGACCATTTTAACCTAGTTCCGACAGGGACATCATCTTAATACGAGGATATATTTGTCATATCACACTACTTCATTGTATAATCAGTTGATTAAAATAATTATTTATTTTATTTTAGGTAATGATTTTTCCCTCTATTTGGCGCGTATATAAGCCGACCCTTGAAAAACAAGGGGAGAGAGAAAGATCAAACAAACGGCATATGACTTCGAGAAACTGAAGCAGAAAGAGAGAGAAAGTGAAGGAAAGTTAAAGAAAGAGAGGAAAAAAAAAACTAAACAAACAGAACCCAAAAAAACAGAGACAAACAGTGTTTTTTTGGTTCCTTGTAAGAAAGAAGGAAAAGAGAGGGAGAAAGTTTCTGTTTTTTTTGCTTTTTCTCTCTCTCTCTCTAAGTTTCTGTTTCATATTTGTTCTTCTTTGTCTCTTTAGAAAAGAAGACAAACACACCCATTTGATCGGATTGCAATTTGGGCTGTTTGGGGTTGTTGTCCGTACGTTGAATGGAGCGGGGATCCGATTCGGATCCGGAACCGGAATGGACAGCTTCGGGACCCGAAACGGGGCTCGAAGGTAAAGAGGACTCCAACTTTTGGGTTTATGATTTATGGTATTTTTGCGATTTTTTCTTTTGGTGTAATGTGGGATGTGATACGAGGTTTTTGTTTGGAATGTAGAGCCGGTTTGGCGATTGGGTTTGGGGGATGGGTCGGAATCATACCCGGTGCGACCTAACGAAGCTGATTGTATGTACTATTTGAGGACTGGGTTTTGCGGCTACGGCTCTAAGTGTCGGTTCAATCATCCACGTGACCATGCCAGGGTAAACTATGGATAATTTGATTGAAATTTTCTGTTTTTGATATGACTTGATGTTTGCTTGAAGGTTTTGATTGGTTTTTTGTTTGATTATGGTATTTGGAGTGATGGGGGTTTCTTATTTTGGGGTAAAAATGAAAGGTTTTTGGTTTCTGCATTAAGATCTAGTGTAATTAGTAATTGTGATTTTGGAAAAACTTTGATGCTCATTTGTTTTGATTGGTGAAAGAAATGTGATGATGAATTGATGATGATGCTGATTGCGTTAGGTTATTGGAGCTGGAAGAGGTGGTGTAGAGGAGTATCCGGAGAGAGTGGGCCAGCCAGTTTGTCAGGTACTTTTTGATTAGATTGTTTTTTTAATGTTTGACAAATTTGACGTAAGTATGCTAAAATGGTACAATTTCAACAATATGCATTGCCTAAATTCTTGAAGGTAAAGATAACTTTATGTCAATTTATTTTATGTTTAAAGGATAGAGTTAGGTCTTGTAATTTTGGTGAATAGATTCTGCTTGGTTTGACAGTTTAGGAAATTAGGAACTCCGTAAGTTACTTTTTATGTTGATTATGGCTTTCCTTTTTATTGATTTGCAGTTTTATATGAGGACGGGGACATGCAAATTTGGTGCTTCGTGTAAGTACAATCATCCCAAGCAGGGAGGTGGTTCTGTTAACTCTGTGCCGCTAAATTATTATGGATACCCACTGCGTCTGGTTTGTAACCCTTGACATTGAAACTTAATCTTTTAGATACGTATTGTTAAGTTTACTTAATACTTGGGTAATGCTGTAAAACAGGGCGAAAAGGAGTGTTCTTACTATGTGAAGACAGGGCGGTGTAAGTTTGGTGCAACATGTAAATTCCATCATCCTGCGCCACCAGCTGTGCAGCTTCCAGCACCATCTCTTGCTCCTCCAGTTGCACGTTTGCCTACACCAGGTCCAGTACCTATGTCATATCCCATGGTGCAGTCACCATCTGGTCGTTCCTCTCAACAATATGGAGTTGTAATGGCACGGCCTCCCTTGATGCCAGGCTCATATGGGCAAGCCCCCTATGGTCCTTTGATGCTTTCCCCAGGCATGGTTTATGTTCCAAGTTGGAACCCCTATCTGGTAGGAGAATTAAAACTTTATTCAGTTCCCTCAATGCTGAATTTGCTTTATTAATTTTTTATTTTTAAGGTTGTTAATGCAAGTGGTGCAGGCACCTGTCAATCCTGGTACTCAATCCAATGTTGGATCAAGCTCAATTTTTAGAGTAACACCATTATCTCCTTCAGCACCTGCCTATACAGGATCTTATCAACCTGTACCATCTAGTGTTGGGCCTTCTAGTAGTTTTCAGAAGGAGCAGTCATTTCCTGAGAGACCTGGCCAACCAGAATGTCATTATTATATGAAAACAGGTGACTGTAAATATGGATCCTCCTGTAGATATCATCATCCGCCTGAAGTGATTGCACCAAAAGCTGATGTCATCCTCAGCCCTCTTGGTTTTCCTCTTCGTCCAGTAAGCATTTCTTGAAATGTCCTAAAAATGTGATGCTTTATACAAGATAGTATTTTAAAAAATTGATCATGTTTAATACTTACTACATCAGCATGAATTAGAGTTTTCTATACTCAATTGCTTTTGCAACAATTATTATGTTCTTGTAACTTTACTGTTGGCATTTTTTTGGCATCTATTTGGGTTCCTTTTGTATATTCCAACTTGCAACTAGACCTGATAAAACATGTAAGAGTTTTCCCAATGGTCAGGCTTTCTTTTTCTGTAGAGAGATTGAAGCTTTGTAGGAAAGGTGACAATGTATGCCAGTGGAAAGCAGGAATACAGTTTTGGATAATAAGTATGTAACATCTGCCAAAACTAAGGTCTTTGCCCACCCACATAACTGGCAGCTTCTTACTATGTTTTAAGTTTTAGTAAGTAAACTTTTTCTTAGAATCTTTTCATAGGGCATATTCTAACTATTGTTCTCCACTCAATGTGGTAATGCTTCAGTTGTCTCAGCATGGCAAACATCTTCTTGCTCCAATTCTTGGAGTCTTTGAGTTGAACTTTGTTTCAGGAAAACCTGTTCAGGTTCTCCCTAGTTTGTTCAGAGTTTTCAACTCAATATCATTAGAAGGTTTACGTATGAGGTCTGACAAACACTAGAATATCTTTCAGTTACTTGTGTGCAGATAGAACATTTAACCTGTTGCTTGATTCGAAATTTGATTTGCATTTTGTGAAAGCACTTCACTGTAAACTTCTGTGTTTGGTTTGGACCCCATAACTACAGATGTGGAGTATCCTTGACTTGGATTTCAATAGATTGTTGTGCCAGCATTTATTGTTTGCATGAACCTGTAGATTTTTCCTTTTTAGATGCAGGATTTCCTGGTTGAATTTTCCCTAGAACTCTGTGAGCATGTTTGATGAAAATACTTTTACATGATGAATGAGTTTATTATGTGACTTTCATGAATCATTGTTTTGATTTTGGGAACATAAAGATTGTTCTGTTTTTCTGTTTTTGCATCTTAGAGTTTCTTGGGTTACTACTTTTCTTCTTGATTTCATAGGTTTGTTTTAACTTAAGAATATCTTTGTCCTCCATCGAGTGGTCTTTCATACATTTATTCATTTACTATTAAGAATATAAACATTTCTTGGGTTTATTTTGTGAAATTGTGATTCATACTTTCTAGGATTTGTAGATTATGCCATCTCTGTAAACATCAAAAGTCTTCTAACCTATAACAGGATTTTAGGTGATTTATAGATGTTGGTTCAGTAGTTCTTTTGAGAAAGAGTGGCTATAATTTGTTCTGTCAACTGCAAAAGTTTGGGCGCTGTTGTAAAGTTCCTGGTGATGTTTGATGCCTTAATTTCCAATTTCAACATAAATTTCCTGGACTGTTGGGATGAGGAATGATTGGTAATTACTACTCTTTGACCAAGTCAAAGGGCTTGATGATGTGTTTTTTTTACGTCTTAGTTTGGATGATGGATGGATGTTGATAAATTGTACATGACAACACCTCAGTTATTTGTTTTTAAGTTTTTCAAGCAATTTCTACTTTGGAATTCAGAACTTGCAAAAAGTGAGTTATTCAGGATGGCTAGAAATGTGGCATAGGTGACTACAAGTCAGCGCAAGATGCTGAAAACTGTCTTATCCTTAATTTGGGCCATCCTCTCGAAGCTAGCTTGGTTGCAGGGTTTCTGATGGAGAGTGTAATTTTTGGTTATAGTGACTGGCTGAAGAAGAATCCTAGGATTTTGAAGAAAATTTTTTGTCTGCATGAGCTAAGGTCTTCTTCTGATTATTGTCTATATATAGTAGAAAATTGTCTTATTTGACAATCTCAGTAAATGAATGAATTGAATGGGAATGTTTTTGCACTCTCTAATCGGAGTGAGGTTATTCATGATTGAAACTGTTATTCATATATCTGTGAAACCCAGCTTACTGAAAACCACAAAAGTTCAACGAAGGAAGCTATAATGAAATTGTTATGATTGGATAGTTTTATTTATTTATTTATTCATGTTCCTTAACCCCATGTGTTTCTATTACTTGTGGTTGGCTGTGCTGGTGCAGGCGTACTAGATTTCTTTCTTGATGTCATTCTGCCAACCTTTTCGACAACCAGCTAGTTAACATTCAGACTTGCTATCATCTGGTTGCGTGAATGTCTTATGATGTTTTCTTCTATGGTTTCTTTTTAGTACATTAGTCATGCAACATATATTTGTGATACGACCTATTGATGTTATCTGCACACATTTTTTTTTTAATTTTCTCTACAAACAATTTTCAAGAGCATGAATAAAATTGAATGAACAAAGTAAGTTAAGAATGGTTGATCTTTGTTTTTTTTTGTAAAGTGCTATTGAACAAATTGTACTCTCCCTGGTTGTCAGTGCTACTGATGTTTACTGTAAGATGCTTCGCTTGCAAAATTATGCTCATTCCAGGAATTCTCCACTGGGGTCTAGGAGCATGAACTTCCTGTGAATTTTTAAATTTCTTTTGTCTTTCATTTGTTTGTTCTTTTTTATCACTCTTTTCCTTTTGCCTTGACATTTTATTTTCATACTTGTTAATTGTTATATAGCTCCTACATGAGCTTGTGTTGCTCTTGCTAGCTGTTCAACCTGCCATTTCCGTATGTTAAGTCTTTTCTGATAAGTGGAGGATTTTCACCTCTAGGCCTTATGGTTTTTTATGTTCACCGTGCGAAAATTAATTCGAGTCTTTTCCTCATAAGTTTTTGTTTATATGCTTATTTGTGTTTGTCTTAATGGCATCAGGGTGCACCACCTTGCACTCATTATTCACAGCGAGGAGCATGCAAGTTTGGAGCTGCTTGCAAATTTGACCATCCTATGGGAACCTTTAGTTACAGTCCATCTGCGTCTTCCCTTGCTGATGTGCCTGTTGCACCCTGTTCTGTTGGATCTACAGTTGGTACTCTAGCTCCATCATCCTCATCTTCAGAGTTACGACCAGAACTTCTTTCAGGGTCAAGCAAGGATCCTGCCCCTTCCATAATGTCATCATCCGCGAGTGCATCAAGTGAATCGGTTGGTTCCTTTTTTTCTAAAGGTACACCCGTTCCTCAATCAAGCACACAACAGTCTACTCAGAGTTCTGCCCCTTCTACTGGTAGTGGCAGCAGCAGCACCAAGGCGCACACTTCAAGCTAAGAGAAAAGAAAAGCAACTTCCTCAATCCCCTTTTTTTGATCAAGGTCATGAACCAAAACATTATTTTTTGTGCCACTCTTCAAAAATAGGATGCTTCATTTCTTTGTTATCATGGTTCCACAATTCAGGTCTAGCACACAACATCTCCGATCATCTGTGTTCATATAATCATCATAGGGCCATCTCTTCCATATTGAATAAGCCCATAGCCAAACCATAAAAAGTTTAGCAAACCCCATACACCTTGCTTTTGAATAACCACTGAAGAACCTGCAGTTATGTTAGGGAGAACTGTGTCAACCCGTCCAATTTTTGGAGTCTGTTGCATTTGTTTATGATCTGATCTTTTTTGAAATGAAAAGATCGATCCCACAGCATTCTTCTCTTTACACCGTTTGTTCATGTCCATCATAGATTTTATTTTCAATTTGGGAACAAGTTTCCAATTCAATCTAGAAAGAACTTGAAAGTAATCTTGTTCCCCCACTTTTTATGAGGGGTTGTTGTGAAGAAGAGGGGTTGTTGTGAAGAAGATAAGTAATTTAAGAAAAACTCCGAGGAGGCATCGAAAGGTGACTATATATGGGATTAGATACATGATTGTGTTGTGACAATGGAAATGCTTGACATGGTTCGATAAATTTATTATGACATACGAATATATGAGAATTACTCTTTGACTGCAATAATTGTTCATCACTTCAATTCCAGCATTTAGTCCTCAGTTTTCACTTTTTGTCACAGCTTCATTCAAATGTGCCAAACTACGGGCAAGAGATCATTTGGATTTGAATATTCCTTGTGCAAGTGATTATCCTCCAGAAATGGCAACATTCATTTGTTTTCTTCAACCTAGTCTTTCCTCTCGCTCCTCCATTTCCTCTTGTTCTCCTATCATATTTTCTCTGATAGGGCCAAGTTTTGTGCTGGGGTTAATGTTATGAATAATTTTTAAATTATAGTAAAATATGAAATGTGATATTTAAATTTTAAAAAATTTTTAATATAGAATTTGAACTTTAAAAATGTTGAAACTAGTCATGTATGGAATATAATATTAGTTAACAGATTTGATTTTTAAAATTCAGATATTACATTGAATTTTTTGATATAGTCTAAAAGTCATTTATGACCTTAACCCTTTTTTGTTCTGCCATTAGTCTCTCTGATTCAGATAATTGTTATGCTGCATTTCTGCATCTTTTTAGTCACTTTACAACCCTCTCGGGCTACCCAGTTCTTTGGTAAATAAGGAAAAAAAAGGGAAAGGAAAATAAAAAATGGGAAGCAGCAGCAAGTGCATACTTATGATGAAAACAAAACCAAGTGCAAGTACTACACCTAGGGCCAGTAGTGCTGAAAGTTGAAAACAAACAACTACACCTAGGGCCAGTGCTGCTGAAAGTTGAAAACAAACAAACAATTCCACTTTACTACAAAGATTTTGTCTAACAATTAGCAAAAGTAATCCTTGTAAATATGCAAAGGATGTCATGTTGTTTTAGTACTGTCTATTGACAGTGATGTTTAATTGTCAATCTTCTACCTTAACACCTTTTTAGCTGTTTGGTATATAAGACAACTGTGCTTAAAGGCATTTAAAAAGACAGCAACAATAAAGGATCTGTAATTGGTTTATACAATTATTTTTAAAACATAATATACGATTTTTTATTGTAAGTTACGGTTTTTTTCCCATAAAAAAAAAAAGAGAACAAGTAGTTATATTTCATGATTTGCTTGCTATATCAAGTTTCTTAATTCTCATAAACTCGTCAGTATACTAAACCTTTAGCTACAATTAATTAGCCAATACTTTTTTCCACTTTCTGACATTTGTGGTTCTAAGTGCTCCAGATTTCTTTCTCCCTCCCATAATGTTGGCAGTAATGGATTCTGTAAAAAACTATACGCTCACCAAGTTTGAGTTTTGTAAGAAAACATAAAAATGCAACATAATCTGACAGGTGATAGTCAACCATATATAAAATCACAAAGTATTAATTAAGATAAAAGCTGTGAACATTACATTAATGGTGAATGAATCCATCCTGGAGACCTATGTGTTTTATTGCATTTTGTATAAGAGCTAGGGTTGTTGAGAAAAAGTAGAGCAAGTAGCTGCAAAAAGACAGAATCATGCAGTCCATATTAATTGATTTCTACTTAAAGTCGAGCTGCATGACAAGCCGCTATCAAATGCATCATGTTAATGATCATGTTTCCTGAATAATAATAAAAAAAAAGACCTTGCTTAAAGCTGTTTTTCAAAACATTTTCATTCAAATTGGCAAAGGTGGACATTCCTGGACTCTCTTTCAACCTCAAATGAGGAAAAACTAAATAAAATGTTTAGTTACAGTGAATAAGAGAGTTGAAATAAAACTGAAAACGACACTAGATGATAACAAATTGCATGCAGGTGGGAACAAGCACAGCACCAATACTTCCCTACTGATAGATGATAGAGTGCTGTAGAAAGCTAGAACTTAGAAGAGTGAATACCCCAAGTCGACTACATCACCAAAAGGAGGCACTGAAGGAGAACTAGTTATTGAAGAAGTGGCTTGAGAAATGATCATGCTGTAGTTGCTAGGATTGCCATTGTAGGGATAAAAGGCTCCCATGCACCCATCTTCAACCATCAATGGGGGGTTGATTATAGCTGAGAGTTCATTGGAGTTCATTTCCCATGATTGTTGGTCACTCCAAAAACCCTGATTCAGTTCATCAAAACCCGGAAACTCAATGTTGCTAGACTTGGGCAAGTCTGTTATGTCCAGAGGAAGAGCATAGTTATTACAATGTGATTGGTTTTCATGGGAGTTTTGGTTCATGGAGCAGAAGTTTGAAACAAGTGAGCTGGCTGGAGTGCAAGGAGGCTTCAAGCAGTTATCAGGAACTATGCAGGCCAAGTAACCTGAGTTACTATCACTAGAGAAAAAGAAACTATTATTATCAACTGACCCGCATGGAATTTCATCAGGTGATGATGATGGGTCATTATTATTTGGTTGGGTGGGGGTTTTACCGTGGGAAATGTCAGGCTGAGGTTCACTGTTGTGATTGGTTGCTTGTTTGGGTTGCGAGCTGGTAAGAAACTGAGAAGTTGGTGAAATGGATTGGACACCAAAAGGAGTAAGAAGGGAATGGAAAGTAGTGTTGTCAGAGTATATGAAGTTTGTTCTTGCTTGGGTTCCTTTCATGGAAAGTGCAGCTCTATCATAAGCAAGAGCAGCTTCTTGAGCTGTATCAAATGTTCCAAGCCAGTGCCTTTCTTTTGTTGTTGGGTCTCTGATTTCAGCAGCATATCTACCCCAAGGCCGCCTCCTCACTCCAAGATACCTCCCTGGTTCTGCCTGCTTTCTTCTGCCTCTCCTTTCACCAGACTGAGAAGGGGATGTGTTTCTCAGAAGCAGAGCAAAACCTGCTTGAGTTTGAACAGGTTCATATCCAAAAGGTTTATCCAAGGCTATTGAAGTGGACATCTCTATAAAAAAGTATTGTAGCGGGACAGATTGTGGCTGTTACTTGATAGAGAATTAAAAGCACAATGCTGCTAAGGAGAGGTATGGCTCAGACTGGGAATGTAGAGATGGGAGAAAAGGCAGAGGTGGGTTTTTTGAATGGAAATGTGAGGAAGTGTAGGGAAGTCTTTTAAAGAGAGTGATTTGAACATGGGGAGGAAAGAGAAGGACATTGCAGCTGTCATTCCCTGGAAGACCAGCCTACCTTTGTCTACCTACTTGTAAATCTTTATACAATATTTTTTTTATATAAAAAAATGCTGCAGCAAGGAGATTGAATATCACTCTTATAAGTGATTGCATAAACCATCGAAATTAAATTCTGATTCTTATATGATTTTTCTTCCTTACTTCTATTAAATTCTTTAGTCCTTCCTCCAGCTCAAAATAATTACACAGGGCTTGAACTTATGGGTGAAATTAACCTTTCAAATGATGGTCTAATGACCACTCTTTGCCTGAAATCTTCTTGAATTAAACTGATAATGAGTTTATGTATTGGAAACACAAAAACTTTACCAGGTATCGTATGATGGATTTTCTTTTCTAATGATGCAAATATTACATCGGGTCAATGTAAGCTACTAGGATTATTTTAGACATATATCAAAAGAAAAAAAATATATTATCACCCTATGATCAAGTCACGTGTAACTGCGTATTTACTGGGCTAATCTACCTGAAAAAGGAAAGGTTAATATATAGCAATCTTAAGCTATTGAACAATGCCACACAAAATTGTTAATTTCATAGAAAAATCTGTTTCAAATAAACCCAGTAAGGATGTCAAAGTTAATAACAACTATGAATATAAGATTATATAAATATTAGATCCCAATATTTGGTTCAATAATTAATGCATAATTTTTATGTTTGAAAAATATGGTTCGAATCTCATTTTTCTAATAAGAAATTATAAGATTATGATTGAATGATTAGTATGAACAAAAGGCCTTGAATGGTAGGATTAATTAGAAAAGAATCATGTGGATCTACCTAAAAAATAATTTAACTTCTTGGATTTACTAATTTTTTTTTTTTAGTAAAAAGATTCGTGATATGAAAATATGAAAAGAGAATAGCGTGTTAAAATTTAAATTTTAAACTTATTGAATCCTAATTACATGAATTTATTGAATTAAGTATTGTATTTGGATTTCCAATGTTTAGTATCCATTGTAATCAACACTAACATGCACATGTTAATCAGCATTTTGAGCAAAATTAATCAATCACTTTACTAGGAAGTTTCTTTGTCTGCTTCACTATTTTCAAAGGGAGCAGTTAACATTATCTCTAAATAAGCAGAAAATGCCCAAAAAATATGAAGATATTCTATTAAAGGCTCAACATTTCCTCAAAACAAATAAAGCTCAAACACCAAAGGGTCCCTTCACCAATGACCCATAAGTCAAAACCCTTTAATTTGTTTTGTCATCATATCTAACCTTCAAAATATTGGTTTTCACCTTTAGCATTATCTCATGTAAAAATTTGATTCTAGAGTGAGGTTGACCTTGGTCTCAAGGTACAAAAATGGTGTTGCATTAATAAGTTGGATATTATATTAAATTTCTTGATCTCTTTATTCATATGTGCTAGGGATATTTTGTGGTTCAATGAACAAAACAATTTTATCCTAGAGTGAGAGTCATCAATTAAATAATGATAATTTTATTAATTTTATCAAAGTTGATACGTCGAGTTGACTTGAAATCTCAAATTTCACATCAACTCTTGATTGATTCCTTGATGTCATATGAGGACTATGATTTATCACTTCTTAATTGAGTCACTAATTGTTAATTAAACTCAAGCCATCACATCAGCTTTAATCCTATCACCGGGAGCTCAGGCTATCTAAGTCCAGTACCTTCACCATTAATATATAAATAACTCCTCTTACTATTAAATTGATTCAACTTTCATATTTATTTTTAGACTTTTTCTTTATTTTTATTTTTTTGTTAAACACTGATCTAAACGTTAGAGTACAAATGTCAAAAAAATCTCTAATATTTGTTATTAATAAATCTTCTTTTTTTATGATTTTAAATTTTTACTATCGTTAAGATAGTTCGACTCTAATAATATAATATTACAATTACGATAATTTTTGATCTCAATATATGTGATTTTATTTGTCTGAATATGTTTTGAGTGGGAATGAACTCATGAAAACAATATTCTAATAACTTGGAGATGGAAATATGGAATTTGGAAGGTGAAAGTGGAGAAAAGGGACAAATAAAGATGGTGGGTCATTTCCACATTTTCGAGCTCCTTAAAAACTTTCTTTTCAGGTATCTTTTTAACTCAAAGTTCAGCACAATCTGGCCTAGACAAGTATGGGGAACTTTCAATCTTTTGTCTTTGATCTCTCCATAAAAAAGCAAAAAGAAAAAAGCTATAGTCAAAAGGGTAATCAAATTAAGGCTTAAAGAATAAATTGTAAAAGCAAGATGGGACTAAATTTCCCATTCACGATTAGAAAATTTTTTAAATTTCATAAATGAGATTAATAACGTATATATATATATTAATCTCTTAATTTCGTTTATAATAAAAGACGAACTTTTATATATAAATGGGGCATTAACAAAATTTATTTAGCCGTTCCAACAATGAAAGTGGAAAACCATCCTCTTTGATTTCAATTAAACTTTCACATGGCTATATGGCATTGGGAATGGCAAAAAACTAATCATAATCAAATGGGTCAACCCCTTTTCTTGTTTTTTTAAACGTTTTGCTTTGCCCACTAGTCATTATTATAGCCAAAACATAATTGAATAATGGACCAAATTGATTTTACATGGTCAAAAAAACAAATCAAGCATATTTAAATGATGGAACTTATAAAAATATGAGCTGAGAGAATGGCACATCATCAAGTGTTATTAATATTATTTGAGTTTTTAAACACAATCATTTTCATTTCTTTTAAGAATGACAATATATATATATATATATTTATGGAATTAGAATCTATGACCCTTGACTCATCCACTAAAGATTTGAAGAACAAACAAATGTGGGATTTGTTTCATTTTACCTTATCTTAATAGAGCAATGGCCATTTAGAACATGGGATCATAATATTTGATCACATGTGGACCAATATACAGAAGAATAAAATATTGGCAAAAGTTTGTTTGTCTTTTCACATAAGAAAATCCATGTCTTTTGCTTAAAATTGAAACAATTATTAGGTTTTCTTGTCTTTTTATTTTTATTTTTCTTGTTTTGAGATTTTGCAGTTAAGTGGTAAAATCCAAATTGTATGTACGTTTATGTTTTGTGGTTGGTCCAGGAAAAACATCTTTTTTCCTCATATTCTGGTTAGACCAAGAAATTGAACCTTTCAACAAAATGCCACATGAAATAAAATCAAGAAAAAGTTTCTTTTTTCATGAAAATCAATGCCTTACTTTGCATGAAAGGTTACTTGTGGATGTTACCATTTGAATAGAAGAAAGGGTAGCCAAGCCTCTTTCTGAAAAAATGTGAGGCCAGTTGAAATGTAAGGACGAAATATGGTTTGATAAAATCTTGTTTTATTAATTTACTTGATGTATGTAATCACATAATATTCAATAGATTTAAAATTTAAATCTTATAATCCATAATTTTTTTATTTTATTATTATTATTTTGCTTGTTCAATTCCTTCAAAAAGATAGGTTTGGTTTTAAATTTAGACAAAGAAAACCAGATGGTTTGTAGAGTCCTTTCTCTTTGTCTCAATCCTTGCTTGCTTTGATTACCTTTCCTATGAAGTTTTCTTCATTTTCATGACAAAGAGAGAAAAGTTCCATTTGGGGTTTTGGCCTTTGGGATTTGGGGGTCAGAAAAGAATTATGCACATTCTCCAAAAACACCCACTTTTATTTTCTAGTGCTAAGGGTAACCCTGGATTTAGGGAAAAAGATGAGAGTGTCTTTCTTATAGAACTTTGGACTTTGACCTGAAAACATTAAACAAGCAAGAGTACTTAGCTTTTTATCATGAAAATTGTCCCATTTTGGGTGAGATTCTTTTTATTATGGTTTAACTGTTTAAGCTTCTTTTTGGCTACTCAAGGCAGTCAAACACACACACACACTCACACAAACACTTGTGACCTTCCATTAAAGCAGTCATGGTGCACTAGCGCCCAAAGAAACCAAACAATTCTTCTTCTTGCTCTTATTTAGGTGATGATGGGACGATCATGTGGTAGATAATATTGTTTAGATTCATTCAGTGAGGAAAAAAAAAACCCCTACAATTTTTTTGCTCTTATTGTCTATCATATATTCATAGTCTTTGTTGTTTTGATCTAATTGTTAATCATGAAGTGTGGGTTATATATATATATATATATACACACACACAAGCTAATGGTTAGGATGTGATGGGCTAAAAACAAAAATTGATTGAGATATTAAGAAATTATTCTTTTATATTTACTTTAATTTTTTTTCATTTTTTATCTTTTTGAAAATTTTACATTTATTTTGATGATTTTGTCAAAAATTTACATATATCTTATTTTTCCATAAAATTTAAAATATCTATGAATTATTATAAAATGAAATTTCCATAAATTAAAGTCAAATCATATTATCAAACCAAAATATTAATGGATTATTACAAGAATTCAATTTTATTTTTTATGATCTTTAAATAAGAAAAAGGAGGAAAAAAAAAAAGGAAATTAAAGGCACGGACAAACGCAAGGCGGATTTGATACGCCAATGCTTTCAATTCAACCAATAAAATTAAGACACGTAAACTTGTAAGGCCACCAAACCCTGAATCCGACTACTACGTAGCATGCACGATGTGACGCGTGGACACTGTTGCCATGTCATCCCATTACAGTTCCTCAGAATCCCGTACGACGACGTGTCGAGTGAAAAGAGCCTAGTTACAGCCGAATGATCGAGATGACGTGTCGTGAAGAGAGAATACTCACTTTCAAAAACAGTGGGGAAAGTAAATCACGGAGGAAAGACCACGTGTAGATGGAGGTTAGATCGACGGTAGGGATTAATCGGAGGGAATAATGAAAACAGTGAAAGCGAATCTGGTTTGAGAAAAGGAAAGGGTTAGTCAAAGATTCATGGCCAACGGTCCGATTGAGATTGGACGGCTGAGAGTGACACTG